GTTGTCACAATGCATTTGAAGGTACAAAATGTTGCAAGGTCATTCATTAGCTATATCACTAAGCGCCCAAAATAACGTACTTAGAGGTACCCTATAGCCACCAAACAGAGTTTTTCAGCCCAATTCGTAAAAACGTTGTTGAAAACTTAATGGTTTATTATAACCCAAATTAAACGTATCTTATTTAACTTATAGCTAGGTATAGCGGTCGTATGTTTTCACCATAGATAAGGTGATACCCTAGCAGTCAGCTAGAACGTTTCGTTAACTCAATTTTGATTCTTAATCTTATTTAATAAATTGCACTCCCTTTTTTCATTTGGACAAAAATCAAAGGTCACCGCGCGAATTTAACGATTTAACGTTTAAATATCGCACTGTATGCAGCTTCTGTGACCTGTATTTGCTGGTTCGGTTCAGGAACGACGGGAGGGGTTACGTTTGGCTTTTTTGCCCGATATATTTGTTTCGGTATCTGCTCCATCTCGAGATTGACTTTTACTGATAGGCAACCTCCCGAACTCGAAAAGGGCTGTTTCGTTATTGGACAAGTTCGTGTTACTGAAGTCAGATATGACCCAACTTTTGTTTCTGCGCAGTGTTGTTCCCACTTGTGCGAGACAGGACCGATTGGAACGATAGGTGTAGAAAATACGCCATCTGTATCCATCTCGCTAACGAACCGTCGGCAGACTCAAGTAAACAACGATAAAAGGAACGCAAGGGAGGATAAGGGGAAGAATGGTTTGTATCCTTCGAGCAGGCCAAGGCGCAAAAAGCCGCTCGAAAGCGTCATTCATTCTTTCACTGAGTGAGGCAGCATGATCACATAGACCTTCCGAACAATCCCGTTGACTCCCTTCCAGCCGACGTAGTGCATTCGACTCTGTAGACGGGAGCACAATAAGTTAAAAAAAAATTGACTAGACCATTGCGCTGACAAAGTTCCATAGTTTAGATGTGTTAAAGCAGTGTAGCCGGATAATAACTTTGCGAACGCGTCTTAAACGTTTAACAAATGCGGCCAAAAACCTGTGAGTAAAGCTAAGAACAATCTGTGTGATACGTCGCTTATGGACGTTAGCTGAGTACGCAAGATGTACTGGATAATTTATCTGTTGCGATCGTGTTACAGAAAATAAGCATAGAGATTTTATGACCAAAATCTGGGTCGACTGTATTCGTGGGATGGCGTTGGTATTTATATAGCGCTTTCTTGTTAAGCATGATGATTGTGCTGATTAGACTACTAAGTGAGAGAAGTGGTTCAGAACGTTTACGCCCTGATGGGTTCGAACCAAAAACCTACTAGCTAGAATTCTGGAGTCAAGTCGACCCATCCTGAAACATACTCGTAGCTATTGTAGAAATTACACTTTCGCCGTAGGACTATGCTGGATGGAGGCTTCATATTGACTTGCCCTGGCTAAATGTTTCTGCAACGTTATCACCATACACTTATTGTGCTATGGCCTTGTGCGTGCATTGTGTGCGTGCAATACGTACAATGTAGACGTTTCCTAATCGTTGCATCTTGGATGTTGAGGTCCCCGATAGCACGGCGTGCTTCGCACAGGTAGCTCTGCTATACGATCGGCTGTATACTGAATTAGAATAGCTTTACAACAGATTCACTCAAGAACGGATCGTTCTCAGTTCACTATTGTAACCTCTTTCATATCTGTCAGGTGGGTTTGGATCAAGTGCAACGAAGTGCTCTGTGCTTAAGTTGTATTCGGAGAGAGTCTCCAGATGGGAACATGCGTTAACGCTAACACAGTCAATGAATAGGTTTAAAGGTGCGCAATATATATATATATATATGTATTTGTGATGTGTTGACTCCGCCGAAACCTGTATTTTCTTGTACAGATGGTAGCCAGAAGGCGTATTATTTTCGAAATAGAAACACGCCGTCCTTCTAGCAAGAGCGCCTCTGTATATCTCAATATCTGTTCAATTATTTTACACGTATCCACAAATGTAGACTGACGATTATCGGCAGTTTCATTATGATATTTAATACCTACGATATAGTCTACTAATGTAAAGTACAGACTAAATATATGTAATTATATTACATCATGATGATCATCAGATTGGGGACAGTTAGGTGTTTAACAAGTTCGTTCTCCCGCTCACGAGTTATCATTTTGTACCTTTTTTTCACCTACAATATAAATTTAATAATAGTCAGTAATAGGTCGTGATAATACTTTTGCAGATTTTTAGGTAAAGGCTACTTTTAGTACGTAATACGGAACGTGTTGTGACAAAGCCTTTCGTATGTGCACATCATTCAGCGATGTCTTTCTTCTCACGGCGAACGATTCCTGGTCAGTCGTAGTGGATTTCACAATGATTCTTTTGAAATCGGTTGGCCTCAGCAGGTCTACAAAACGCCTTAAGCACAAATCATAATAAGCACAAACTTTCTATGGCGTCTGCGCCTGCTTCTATCGTGGATATTTTTCCCGAGGAAAAGCACCCCCAGACATGATAATGTTTTCATATGCAATTAACAGCGTTCCAACAGGGCGCGTTTGATAATGCGTTTATATGACACCATACGTATGTAAAAGTATCTGTTTTGTTTCTGTATTGAGACAGTTTCGTGACGGCTGCGGAAAATATTATCGAGGATTATAGAATGATAAGAGCACGCCAGTAAGTTTCATAGACAAGTGAAAACTATCAATGTGTTTTATTATTTGCATGTTATAATCGCCAGAATCTGCTTGTAGGGAGTGCAAACAAGTCAAAAATAACCTAACATTGTCCGAGCAATTTTTGTGAGATTTGTAAATTCAACACGAGGCACTCTGGAACTGCCCAGAGTATCCTCGCCGTGTAGACCATGTATTTTCCCTATTTAATTTCAGGAGAACTCGATATGGTGTAAAAAGTTCGTGTACTCATACATATAAGACCTCTTTCTCTGTTTTTTCTCTTTTTCCCCTCTCTAGAACTCATGGCAGATAATTCCTATTCACTTATCGTCCTGAACAGAGGTACAGCTGCTAGCTGAACGATCATTTCCTAAACACCCTGCTGAATCATCGAAAACATCCGGCGACACACACTGTGCATAAACGATGACTCCATATGTACTTTTCCATCGTCGTTTGGTCATAAAAATTATAATAGTATCATCTAGCTACAAGTGGACCATTCGTTCAGTTGTAATTCGAGTTGGGAGATTTGAGGCCTAGAAGAAACCATGGGCGGGATAGCTATTTCTTTACGCCAGTTTGCATTGAAAAGAACTTTCGTACTCTTAGCTTCAATGGAAACGGGCACGACAAACTCGTATGACAATGAGTTCCATATGCTACATGCCATATGTGTGGAAGTCTACTCAAGCAGTTCACGGTCATATGGAAACCTCTGCAAACTCTGAGGATCCTTTTTCAGAATAACAGTAATGCTCGGTGCGGTTTTTAAGTACTACTCATAGTTCACAGAACTAGTCATTGCGTTTACATAAGACTAGAAAATCCGAGTGCGAAAGTTAATTTGAAATTAGTGGGAAGAGTAGAGGCTTGGAACCGTTCGCTGAAGTCTCGGTAGATTCTAAGATTTAATCGAAGCCTACAATCTTGCAACGGAAGGTTTAAACTTTATCTGTACAAATGTGCATTTGGACGTTCTGATATACCCGGCTTAGTAAGCGAACTCAATTTGCCATTCATTTGATACAAATCATGCAGTAAACTCGCGGTACCTTTCAACATCGCTGCATGCAAAATACAGAATGATCAGCGAACTATTCCTGCTTAGCATCTATCGCTTTTTAAGGTCCATGTAACACAAGTCTCACTGACTCGTATATAAAAAGTGCCGAGTATTGCCGAGTATTCCTTTCTAGGAAGTGTTTTATTGCAAGAGGTTTACTCTGTAGTAGGCTGGAAGACTCACCCTTGAACTATCAATTAAAACGAACTAGTCTAGGGTCGCTTATGACTACTTACGTCCTGCTCATACTCACACAGGTTCATTCACACTGATAATTACCAAAACGGGACCCGCATTGATTCGGGAGCGCCTTTTAGCTTGTCGTTTATGGAGGGTGCGATTTCATTAGTACACGACGGCGCATCCAAACGGCCTTAACTGCCGACTAAGCCGGGCTTTTTCCAGCTCGAATTTACATGATGGCGAGCGTCAATGTGGCTGAAGTGTCTGCGGTGACGATTTGATTTTCCGCTTTATCATCGTATGCCTCTCTGGCTTTCAATGTCGTTGGTTCATTCCTATGTGTGTTTAAGTTCTGCTTACGTTTAATTAACGGTAGCAGGTCTCCACAAGGATTCAAATCGTACGGCCTTTAGCAAGCTGGATCCGGTCCCATGTCTGCGACCATCGCAAAGCGTGCAAAGGGTCATCGTTTCCTACCCCTCGGCTTCATGTGATACGACACGACAAGTGAAGCCTTTTAATGCCAACAGGCACTGTACGCTGCCCCAGGGATGGTCAGGTCAGAGGTTGTATACGGCCGCCCGTCTAGCCCCCGACTGTCGTACTGCTTTGCGTGTTAGATGAGAAGGGGAAACGCAAGGAAAACCAACAAGGGCTACGGCCGAAGGCAAAGTAACGTGAGAAAGTATACGTCCAGTAAAAAAGCGACGCCACAGGAACAACGAAGAAGAAAGTGCAAGAGGCCTGGCACAATTAGAGTAGCCGTGTAAAATACAGGCACGTCATACAGTGATCATGCCTGGCGTATTCATGGCCGAATTTTTCAGGCAGACCAGAGAAGCGTAAACGCTATATAATATAGTTGTTTGCACTGAAGGAACCGCGCCTGAAAGAGATCCAGGGTATAAAACTAAGGTTTGTTCAGCGCCGCTGCAACAGTCTACTCGGAATAATCTATCCATTGACATTTTAAATACGTATGGATACATAATAAAAACATAACATAATTTCCGTAGGGATCATATTGAAGGAGTACAGCAAGAAGTTGGAAACAAAAGGTGTCGTGAAGTAGAACGCTTTAGCCTTATGAAACATTCAATCGTTTACTGTTCTTCTGTTACCTTAATAATGTTACTATTGCGTTCAACCGTTACGTCGAAGTCTTGACCTTATTACGTGACTGTCAGTGCCACCATGACTCGTCATCTATCCAAAGTCATAACTGAGTAAAACAAAAATAATTATTGACATAAAGTTAATTGTTCTTGTTATGTAATCCCTGCTATTGTCGTTGTCTTGGTATAATTGTTGATCGTTAGTTAATTACTGCGATAATGATAAGCGACATAGGCAATGAACTACAGAGCACTTAACTACAGAGTAAACTATGACAGTTTAGTGGGTAAAATGCTTAATGAAGATTCGGTAGAGTCCTTCTCGGTTAGCTTAACGATTGCATCCCGAATCCATGAGTGTCTCGGTGTTTTGACTTTATAGCAGGGTAAAGCATACTTTTCGTCGAGAAAAAATGCTTCAAGAACTTCGCAGCAATGGCGGACAGCGGTAGCGAATACGACCCGCTCGGCACGGGTATCCATTCGAATGTTAGTTACAATTTCAGCCAGGTTGTCGAGCGAAATCGCATACATTCGATCAAGTAGAATTCGAAATAAACTTGGGTAAGTGCTAGTTTTGAGAGAGTTAAACAGCACCCCCAATAACTTGTCCATCTTCGCCGCCCGATGACGAACTTCTTCGACCGTCCCACTTTCACAAACCGTCACAATCACATCGGAAATATCATCTGCGAGACGTTCGGCAAATTCTTCGGCTGTCGTCTCGAAGATCTTTCGGATGTCAGTTAATGTTTGCCGGGGGCTCCAGCGATGAAAGACGTCGTCGCCCGCGCTTGACAAATGTTTCCACTGCTTTCGTTCGGAAGCTTCGCGAGACTCGACCATCTCTTCGAGGTCTGCCACGATTAGCGCATACGTACTAGCCATATTATTCAGGACAACGCAAACCGTTCGGTTAAAACCGCTTGAGTAACCCGTAGGTGCGAGTAACTTTTGGTCCTCGGTGGCGGTGGCCAGCTGGGTAACATAGTGTAGGCCGCATGTGCACAAAGTTCTAGCGTAGATTTCTGAGAGTTGCAGTGATTTCGACGTCATTTCGTAAATGCCAGCGAGGTTATGGTGTAGTCTCGAAAGAAACTCCTCACACGATCTACTCAGTAATTGGCCGGAGACACTTGTTATCGTTCGAGCGAGGATCAAATCTTGTCGGGCCACGTAGCGTGACCAATACGGGGCTTCGGTTTCTAGATTCTGCATCCAAACCTCAACAGTATTCTCAGAAAAGCAACGGTTTAGAATGCGAATTGGAATCTTGAAATCGTCACAAAACACCTTAAGCACCTGATAGGTTTTGAGCGCATCCTCAGGGACGGTCAATGCACTGATCGAATCCCCATAGCTCACAGCAAACTTTTCGAGAGACTCGCGCGCCACTTCTGAAAGATGTCTGCTCCACGCCATATGAACAAGATCGTTCAGGTTTCGTAGGATATTAGTGGTAACCTTCAGGTTTCCCAATATTATCAATAATGGATGAATATTCCCTTTAAATTTAGCCAGCTGGTTAGATTTCTGCTGTCCCAGGCGTATGATGAACGAATTTAGTCTCCTCTCCGCCAACTCAAGCGCGCCATGATATTTAAATTTTCGTAGCGTCGAACAAAATGATAGAACTCCCATAAGATGAATTCGACTCGTCAAGGTCTGTGGTATAAACGCTTTGAAAGTTAACATTCGACCAATCAATGGGTTATATGCAGCACATATTTGGCGTAGCTCTACCGTTTCAAAATGAGACAGCTCCTCGTCAGTTAGATCAAGCGCGAGGTCATAGATTACAACGCCGTTGATATTCATTGAGTATTTGACGATGGCCTTGTGAACCGCTTGCAAGCAACAGATCGTCTTCAACGGATTGGAAAGGCCTGTTGCCAGGCGGCGTTGAAGGGCGCGGCCTGGCAGGCAAAACATTCTTTTAAAGCACATCTGTTCCATAGTTGGCGTTGCTTTAATAAGCATGTGTAATAAAAGGAAATAGTAGTCACGATATAAAGTACGAAAGTTTTGGTCAGCACATTGAAACTGGGCATGAAATGATAACGTACCGTTAGTCTCTAACGAGTGCATTACATCTCTGCGAAATAAATGAGGACGAGATCTGGCTTCACGAAAACTGAATCGGACCCCGCCCAGATAATCGTCGCCGGCGCTGCATTTAAATAACTCTCTCAAGTAGATCCCAAACCCACGAAACGAACGTATGTCTTTCACTTTTGCGATGTTTCCTAAAAATGTTCTTGGATCCCAATCCCAGATTTCGATCTCGATACGATCGTCTGGCTTTACCGGGCCAATTAGAATTGATTCATTCCAGCACGGATTAAGCGTTTTCATCTTGACACTGCTGAAGTACACGGTGCCATGGTACGCAATACGGATGTATGGATCAGCCAATAAGTTTACGTCAGATGAGTGAAGTCCAACTGCTCCCAGAAATGTGATGTTGATAAGTTGTGGAGTATCGTAACTGGAAAGATCCTTCTTAAGGTTCACGTTGGCCCATTCATCTTTAAATAGAGTCCGTACATATTCTTCAAGCTCTGCATCAGTTACCTTCAGGTCATCTTCTGGCTGAAATATGACATATCACCATGTATATGATTGTGATATTTCGTTGCCAATAAAACCAAGAGGTGACAACCGGTCCATTTCGCCAGCCTGTGCAAACGAGTTGAGAATATCAACATTGAGAAGGTCTGTTTGACAACTGTTCTGTGGAAAGGCACTTTGCAATATTCTATTACATCTTACTAGTTTTGCGGCAGGATGATATTTATTAGGTTGTTACAGGCGAATCCGGCGGATTTTGATACTGAATCACCTTTGAACCACGCGTCACCAGCAGACGAAATATCGTTAATAAGCACTCCAGTTTGTTAGTGACAACCGGTTAAATTTTTTCTAGGAGAAGTAAGCTTCGAAAGAAAAACGTCTTTTTAGTCTTAAGGATCGACGTAGGTTTTCATTTATCAAAGACTATAGCGCTGTAGAGATTTGTCAAAGATTAAGCAATGAGGCCTTAAGCGAAAGCATAATACGTGAATGGTGCAAACGTTTGAGAAACGGAAATTTGTGTCTTGTAGACCAGAAGAGAAATGATCCGAAGGACAAGCACGCGTTGTCACAATCGAGGAGACTTCACGACTGGTATTTCACCTGTGCCGCGTTACAGAATTATAACCTAAATGAAAACCTGTCTGGAGCGTACGGTCGTAATAGGAAAGCCATGGTTCAATCTCGTCCACCAACCATACAGGAACATAGCAGGGACCAGGCGAAAATATTACGTTGCCGTAGAGTGATCAGGTTCACATATAAGGTAATGGTTGTCCTTACAATGGACACTAAAGGCATCCTCTGCTATGGCATACTCGCCGAAAATGAAACAATGAATGCAGCCTACTACTTCGAGTTCCCCCGAGAGACTTACGGGGTGTTGATGCACCAGTCGAAAGCACGCGCACTCTAGTGATCTGTCAACATTAGACCCTATCGCCATGCCTTGATTACATCCTGGAGTGAACAAAATATAAATAGTTTCAACCTGCTTATACTCTCGATGTAAGTCCGCGTGATTACGGAGCTCTCCATGGCCTAAAAAATTCAATTGGTGGGCAAGCATATTCCATTATTGATTACTTCAAGGAGCCACTTTGGCAATGCGAACGTTACGTATTGGGCCGTCCAAAAGCTGGCAGCGCACTGCAACATATACGTAAGAAGTAAAAGTATCTTCTACACACATGATAAAACAATGATCATTATAATTCAACAAGTTGAATTGATTTCAAAGTCTGCCATATCCGCTTGTAGCTACTTAATAATGATGTAAATAACTATTCGGGGCAAAGCATGCGATTGACGAAACTGTAATAGTCGATATGTGAGAGCCAATTATTTTCTTGAATTTTTGCGGTAAAGATGTAACGACATGCTACCTTATTAAACGAAGAGAAATTCATACCTACTTGTTTTGCACCATAGTAGTGGTCGCAACGTCTTAAGCACAGTAAAGCAAGCTCGCCCAGGTTCTCCTGTGTGATGTCCGGAAACCCATCCGCAACACTTTTTTTCCTTTTCGCCATGAGAACTTATCTGTGAATTAACGTAGATCGAAATACCACAAAGGGCAATTACGACCTTCGTTTTTTCGAGCAATGAACCTGTATTCAATGCATTCGGCTAAGCGGTGCACTCGGTTAGATGCTACTGCAAACATAGTCCCTCCTATGTTGCTATTGAACTAGTGTATTTTTTGATTGGTGAAGCCCAAGCCTTCGTTTGAAAGAGCCCACGTTCCCCAACATTCACTTGGCAAGCGTGGCACATAAACATAACGCACTCACTTTTATCACGTACCTAACACTATAATAATCAGTCCTAATTTAAAATCCATTATATACGATATTTTAACCCAGCTGTCTTTTGGCGCAATCGGATGCCTCCAAACTATAGTAATCTAATTATTATATTTCAATTTCCCCGACGAAGTACGCATTGCGATCTTTAAGCTAGGAATATCTTTCAGATACCACCTACTACCCGATACAACATCTTGTATGCTTATTATTGTGTTTCATAACGCTGAATTTCAATAAAGCTAATACTATGGCATAGAACATCTCACATATTGTGTTAAACAGTTGTGTCGTAGCATTTAAAAAATTTTAAATATTGCGATATTTGCAGACAAACTCTTACGAAAGAAAGCGGAGCCGTCGATCTAGCTACTTATTTCTATCAAACTCAACTTAAACTTGAACTTAAAAGTTGAAGTTTCTTTAGACTTGAAGTCCTAGGTCCTCCACCACTATTGAAGCTAAATGTTGCACTGTTTAAATAGAGTTTTCCCTAAAGGTTAAGTCGTTGAAGTTTGACTACGACGAGAACAGAGAACACACAAGTAGTTTTTTGTCCGCAAAAGCCATACTAATCTAAGAGCTGAAATGAAATAGACCCTCAGCTTGTCTACTGTAGACGGCTTACTTGGCAAGCAAGCGAGTTCCCCCGGATTCTCACGGCTTGCATCTCTATCGGTTTCAATCTACAATGAATTGCTCGAGATCGACCGCAGAATGTCGCTTATCCAATTATTATTCGTCCTAGTAGTGATACCCTTACGGAGGTCCTTTTTCTCTGGCTCATTTCGCGGTTGACTTTATATCATTTCTCCGTTCTGCTCGTCATGAATTTAGTGTCTCTATTTATGCTTTCCACCTCATTCATTTGATTGGTATTGAAGCCAACGCGTATAGTAAATCCACTATAAAGGGCTATACTAAATAAGGCCCACGTGGCACGCAAGTACTTGTCCTTTTGCTTCAGTGTGTACTGTAATAAAGTGTGTTAAAAGAAAACATTTTTTTTTCACGAAAGGAGTTTAAATGTACTTTTTCTGTCATCGTTGCATTAAATGACTAACTTAAAACAATCATGTGTAAAGATAACACGGAAAAGACATGCATAAATATTATTGTATTAGCCATACAACTGAGAAGGTTAAAAGGACGTGCCCTCCTGCCTAACACAGAATCCCAACATGGCCTGATTTGCTCTAGATGACCGATGAATGTTTGTATGCACCATCAGTGTGAATGCTTTCCGGATTATAGGTGGTCTGTTTATTCAGCTATACCATTTGTAAAGATTGCTGACCTGCTAGCCGGTACTTCGATGGATGAGTTTTTTGCTGTTTTCCACTAATAGCTGCCTCGGCCGTATGTCTCCATAGGTCCAGGTATGAAGGGACATAGTATGTAATAAAGAAGTATCGTTGTTACCACCTAAACTTACATGGAAACGTATGGTAAGCCGGTAACTTAGTGGTCGATGATGGACGTAACGCATCTACGACGTCGTAGTGATTTAGTTACCGCTAGGGGCTTGAATGATAGGGCAAACGCTCTTTGCGGTAGTTACGGCGCGAACTCATGCGAATTAGTCGCTTCTGTCTTTCCTTTGTGTCTCTGGTCGCTGTGGTCCACCGCTACTGAGTACAACGTGGCCGCTGGGTCGCCTTTCGTTCGTTCGTAGATTGGCCGGCCCATATGTGACGTCATGCATCAGTTCGTGAGGGGATGAAATTGATTTTGCCCTGTAGGCGGTGCGGTGGTAGCGCGTTCAGGCAGAAGGTAGCCACTACTACTCGAAGCGTTATGTAATCGGAATATGTCAAAAGTAGCGGTAGTAGTTTTAGCTAGAAATCTTTATTGCTTTATTAAATGATTCGATGCTTACGAATGCTATCCTACGAAAAGACATCGGGCAAGCGTATTATCGGAGACAGGGAAAAACACGAGACTGAGAAAGTGAGCCTAACTGAGATTACGTGCGTACAGCCATATGAGTACTGCGGGTCCTACTATTGGCGTTTGCCCCACTGTCGCATAGTCAAAGCTCTTCTTATGCACTCCCATTGCAGATACTATTACTTTGCTGTTACCGTAATTACATTGCGTACGCCTATCGTGGAGTAAACGATGAACTAGAAAGATGCTGGGGCAGGTGGTGCTCGTAAATATATTGTACATAAACAGCTGGGTCGGGTTCGTTCATTGTGTAAATTATTGAGAAAAAGCGATATCAATCTGGTAACTAGTAATCCAATCCAGCTTTCCTTCTTTATACTATTGTTTTTGTGTTGTAGCTGCCACAAACAAGAGAGTGATCCATTCGAGCCTCATCAGTGCTTCATTCACTGCCGCTGCGTCTGCGGCCGTCGATAGCCGATCTCTCCACTGTAATAGAAACGAGTTTGCCGTCTTTATCTCGACAATAGCGTCGGAAGCGATTCTCAAAAAAAGGACCAGGGGTCGGCAGAAAAATCAACAATGATAGTAATTATGATACCGATAAGCCACGCAGGATGCGTTCACACATCTTGAAGCTGGGCTAAAACATAAAAGGCAGAACACCTTTCGATTTCGAGTTTAATGGTCCTACACGTGACACTTCCAGACTCGTTACATGTTCCGTCAGTAGCATTTGTCAATTAGCAAGTAGTGAGCCGCTGTATGACCGTCGCTGCTTGAGCACGTCATCTATCGAAAAATAGAATGTACACACACGTACGTAATAACTAAACGTAAAGGTATAAACTAAGATTGAAAGTAACTAAATGAAAAGAGTTATTTGTCAAATTTTTGGAAACTTTTCTTAGAATTCGAAATGAAGTGTCGGATACAGATCACACGTTACTTCTATATCTGCGACCTCGAATCGAGTCCTTGTTTGTTCAGCCCGATGCTATCTGCAATTTATGTTCTGTCTGCCTGTTGTGTAGTTTTTTCCCTTCTCCTTTGTTTTTACACGAGCCGCCGTATCTAGATCGCTCAAACGTTTTTCGTTTTTGCACCTACACCATGTTTGATTCGATGACTTTTAGCAGTAAGGACTACCCAAAAGGTAACTGATTGGCCTGAACGCCCTAATGCATGTAAAACTGCACAGTCTAATTCTTGCCTATATCCAATTTACATTTTTCTTTATTCTGGCTTCCCAATTGAGGTACACTATTTGTCTACACAGGCGAAGACCAATGTACCTTACTTTTTTGAAAAATACCGCGTTAGCGAACCCGACTCAACCTCTATTGGGACCTGCTTGCTAACTTTGTCAGACACTGCTACTTTTTTAAATCTTCTTACTGTTACAGTTAGTGATACAGCTAGAATACAAAAAACAGGCTATTAAACAAATAGAAAAAATTCGTCTTCAACCACCATTTTGCTCGACATTACACCTGCTTACATTAGCAACGTTGCCTGAATGCCTGTATATAGCTTGGTTCTGATTGGCCATCTACATGTTATCCGTGCAGTGGGCTGGTAGCGACTGGGTGGGCTCTTTTCTTTTCAATCTAATGAAAAAACTAGCTAGAAGCTAAAGGCAGTAAGGAAAGACGTGGCGTCATTGTATGGACTCGCCGTATTGGCAGCTAGCGATCTGCCGGTTGCTTTCAACATCGCTTCACCGTGAGGCCACCTGCAAGGGCACTCACTGTACATCAGGTTTCCCGGCCTAGAAAAAAGAGAGAACGCAAGAGAAAAATAGACAGAGGGGGATGCTTGGGTGGGATCATCGCAATGTACGTGGGTTTGCCGCTGCGAATGGGCCTACATTGGCCTATCTCGTTAGGTGTTTGTGGGCGGACGTTATGGAGCGTTGCGGGTTGCTGGAAGGTCCGCAGGAAAATAATGTTAGGGCCAGGAAAAGTGAGAAGGGCTGTAGCGGAGGCCGATTTTGGGAAAGCAGTCCCAGACGACTGTAGAGCCATAGGGCCTCGTTAAGCTAGCAGAGTACTATACTTGCGCCACGGGTGGATGAACGGTGAGTTGCTGTAGGGAATTGCTTGTTGTCCTTGTAACGAGGAGTGGTTCTCCGATCCTACCAGTTGGCAGCTGCCTGGATCCCAGATACAGACCGAATGAAATGCAGATGTCCCTTCTGCTAAGAACGTTCTATTCGACACAACCAGCGAATGTGGTTAAACGGATCAAAAGGAATGGATTTGTTTCGAGATCAACGAGGACATTATATGCGCTTAACATCGGGATTGAATTAAACAAACGATCAAAAACAAACTTGGCAGCTGGGTATAGATTGATGTGCAGACTCACCATAAATGGCTATAAGGCTCGAGCGCTAATTAGGAACTACGGCATATATAGGCGCTTTGGACTATCATAGCCTGGGAGTCGGAATACTGATGTGGATACTATATGCAACAGGGGCTAGTGGCATGTTCCTGATATGAACATAATGTCCACTAGCGCAGAGTTGCCCATTACTCATTGACCGTCAGCTTTTCATAACGGAGAGGAGAAAAGTATGCTTGCCTATCATACGAACCATTGATGATCTCGTTAAGCCATGCGGCCTCTCTATGGCATTGCTGTTTGATATTCTGTCAGATGGCTGGTTCCAAGCGTGACACGAAATGTGTCTATTACACATATTACCATGCCTTGTCTCTAAACTTAACAGGTAAATACCCACTAGGCTATCACGAAACCACGCTATGTGGTCTGGGATCTCTATATCCTTAATAATATGCTATTCATTCGAGTGTGCAAACAACCGATGGTTGTTATTCAATAGCGCTTATATAGGTTTTCATGCTATCTAATAACCTGACCCATGTTAATTGGTATTACAAACGAAAGCTCTATCGATATGACTAGCGACAAAGCCTGACAAATACCGGGTCTGGGCTTACTATTGCTATTGTCGCGGGCGTCGCTTTTAAGTCCAGTGAATCATGACCGGACGGTACATACTAGTAGTAGTAGTAGGATACCGAGTGTGTGGTGGGTAGCGCACGATAAGTGACAGCTTAAAGACTTTGGACGCTATCGTCGTTCGTGAACACTGCCAGTTAATGGGTTGTTATGGCATGGTTGCCTAAAATTGGAGAGAAACTGGAAAGGGCATAAGCCAACTGCCAGAGCTATTTCCTCCCTCTCCACCTTTAATATCTTCTGATTATCGGTAACGCTATCGTTGCTGTCGCTGGTGTCGGTTCTAATGTCGGAGACCATCATCCCAGATAGCACTATCATGCCAGTGTTTTCGATTTGCTTCTATTCGACAATAGTTATTACTGCCACTGCTTGTACTGATATTACTGAAATTCTGCTAAGGCGCTCGTGTAAGGGGAGAGGGGTGTGATGGGTTAACCTGTTCCAATGGTAGATTCTGGGATAGAACTCGAATCAACGGCGTAGAGGTGTTGATGAGGAATCCTGCAGCGAAGCCAACTAGAACAGCCAGATCGGCATCGGTAGATGGCAGCAATATTCGCACCTAGTGGGCGGCAATATACACACACACAGCTCATAATTTGCCTGTACGTCTCACCGTCCCCCCCCGAAGCTACAATCGATCTGTCTCGAAGGCATCTAATCGTGATGTGGCTCGTACAAGCCCGAAAAAAAACGGCATTTAATAGTCGGACAGATAAAAAGGCTTTTTTTCTCCTCGGCCTATTTAGTCTTGGCTCTTACAAAAGGCTTCGATATTAGTTCTACCTTGAGAGAGAGAGAGAGAGAGAGAGAGAGGGAGAGAGAGAAGGAGAGAGGGGGATGCAGGAAGAGTGAGGTTTCCATGCAGTGGCGCATCAAGTATGATAAACGGAACCTAACAAATTTGTTGCTAGCAAGCTAGGTAGTCGAAAGTTCTCTATTTAGTAATTTTACTTTTGCTACAAATGCAATTAGATAATCGCTGCTAGGCTCGTACTCGATATTATGCTTCATTTCTATTACGGGGGATAACAATGGAGTTTATATCGTCTCCGTCATAAACTACTTGATATACAGGAAACTTAGTAATGCCTTTTTTTCTAGCAGCTCGTGCGCGGCCAAAAATAGGTTTAGAATGAACCGCTGCACTGAAGCTGAAGGCCAATGATACGGTCTAATGTGAAGGCTTCTATAGTAAGTCGATCATCCTATTAACTACATGAAAAGTAGTAGTAATCACATTAACACCTAGATCACAAATATGCATAAAAAAAAAAGGATGAAAAATTTGTGATTTTACTGACACAGAAAAAACACTTTTGCGTGGATTCTAATAATGAAGGATATACTTAGCGCGAAAATCAGAGTCCGTTATTCATTCAACCCATTATCAACTGGATATTAACGGATTTTTTTAACTCAGCCCGAAGCAAAACAGGCATAGAGTTGGTCGATTCTTGTCAGCAGTTCGGTTTGCTGCTGTAATGCTATTGTAAGAAGATAAATACATCATTACGCAATTTTTAAACAAGATGGTACCGAAGTCCCAGGTCAGATACGCAGTCCAAGTACAACGACGCATGGTATTAAGGCGCAGTATT